CCTCCACCTTGGGTTCTTTAAAGTGGGTGCACTTCAACTCCCAGAATTCCAGAATAATCTAGAATAGTGTTTCCTCCACCTTGGGTTCTTTAAAGTGGGTGCACTTCAACTCCCAGAATTCCAGAATAATCTAGAATAGTGTTTCCTCCACCTTGGGTTCTTTAAAGTGGGTGCACTTCAACTCCCAGAATTCCAGAATATTCTAGAATAGTGTTTCCACAACTTTGAGTTCTTTAAGACAGGTGGACTTCAGTTCCCAGAATTCCCCAGTCAGCTGAGCTGGCTGGGAAATTCTGGGAGTTGAAGTCCACCTGCCTTAAAGTACCTAAGATTGAGGAAACACTAGATTCAGAACACAACAAGATTTCCATATGTAAGCTAGAATGTAACCATGGTTTAGATAAGGATTTCCTTTAAAAAGACCCCTCCCCCCTCCAATTTCACAAATGCTTCCAATCAATTAAGAGCTGGTGATGCGTCCCAGGGTGAGACCTTATTTAAACTTGGTGATATAAACTCACTTTTTGCTGCCGGCCAAACAAACCCTGATCTCTCCATCTTGGTCTCTTCCTAGACGGAGGAGGATCGCAAGAACCTGATGCGTCTCCAAGACCTTGTTGACAAGCTCCAGTTGAAAGTGAAGGCTTACAAGAGGCAGGCAGAGGAGGCGGTGAGTAGCGGTCCATCTTTCCGTTCTTGTTGGGACCATCCTGGTTTATCACTCATCCTGGTTTATTGAGCCCACCTCAGGACGCTGAGCTGAAGAACTTGGTCCTCCTTTCCTATCTCTGTAACTTCGATGGTCACCTCAATTGTGGTTGACCTATCTGGACCCTCATCCAAACCTTCTCTCTCAACCCCTCAACATTAGCACAATTAGTCCTTGACTTACAACCCCTCACACGGTTGTTAAGTGAATCCAGCTTTTTTCATGGATTTTTCTTGTCGGAAAGATTTGGGGGAAGGTCATAAAGGATGATCACATCTGCAAATTCCTGCCAAGTACCCCCCAAAAATTTAATTTTTTTTATTTTAATTGAACAAAAACCCATCTTGTAGAAAGCGTGTTGATTGGTTACCGATAACTTTCGTGCATTTCTTCCACAGTCATTCCTTATAGTTCGTATTAGATTGTACACTTTAAATCAAAAATCTTTGTATATCTTACTATCAAGGTATCACAATTCTCATTGGACTACAATTATTTGAATGTGCTTTTACCTCAAATCATTCATACTTAAAGACACAACCACATAGTGGCATTCATTAGCTATGGCTTGAAAACGTGCCTAAATAGAGCCGGTTTGGTCTGGTTTGAGAGAACTGGTTGTTAAATTCTGGCTGGCCCTGCCCTTCCAGGAGTCCCCACCCGCCCCATTTTGGCTCCCAGGTAAGTGCAGGGAGGCCTACCAGGCCCAAAATGGGGCGCTGGGGAGGGGGGGTGCGGCGCATCCCCTCCGCGCCCCATTTTTGCTCCCAGGAAGCTCCAGGGAGGTGTACTAGACCAAAAGTGGAGGGCTGCGCCCCCCGCATTTTTGCTCCCAGGGGGTGAAGGAGGCCGTTGCTCCCTATCACACACCCTGGTCACACCCACCATGGCGATACCCACCCAGCCGGTCATTAGGGCAGAGAACTGGTTGTTAAATTATTTGAATCCCACCATTGGGCGGGTGGGGGCCAGCCGCAATTTCCACTAACGGTTTGGGCAAAGCGGTCCAATCCGGTTGAATACCACCTCATGTTCCCTTGTCGGTTTTCCCCAGGAGGAGCAAGCCAACAGCAACTTGGGCAAATTCCGGAAGGTTCAGCACGAGTTGGATGAAGCCGAGGAGAGGGCGGACATTGCAGAGTCCCAGGTCAACAAGTTGAGGGCCAAAAGCCGTGACATTGGGGTGAAGGTGAGGACCTACTCTTAAGCCTAATCTTAACCCTAATTCTATCGCTACCCCTGTTCTTCACTCTACCCTTAACTGTAATCCTAACCCTACCCTTAACCCTACCCATACCCCTAATCCTACTCGTACTCCTACCCCTACCCCTAACTTTACCTCTACTTTAACCCTACTCCTACCTCTAACCTTAACCCTACTCCTAACCCTACCTCTAAACTTAACCCTACTTTTATTCCTACCCCTACCTCTAACCTTAACCCTACCCCTAACATTAACCCTACTTTTACACCTACTTCCACCCCCCACTCTACCCTTACCCCTACCTTATCCCTACTCCGACCCCTAACCTTAACGTTACAGCTAACCCTAACACTAACCTTAACCTTATTCTAATTCTACCCCTACCCCAACCACCACCTTAACCCTACTCCTACCTCTAACCATAACCCTACCCCTAACCTTAAGCCTACTTTTACACCTACTCCCACCCCTAATTCTACCCTTACCCCCACCTTATCCCTACTCCTACTCCTACCCTTAACCTTAACCCTACAGCTACCCCTAACCCTAACCTTAACCGTATTCTAATTCTACCCCTACCCCAACCCCCACCTTAACCCTACTCCTACCTCTAACCTTAAGCCTACCCCAACCTTAAGCCTACTTTTACTCCTACTCCTACCCTAACTCTACTCCACCTTACCCCTACCCCTAACCTTAACCCTACTCCTAACCCTAACCTTAACCCTGTTCTTACTCCTAACCCTATCTATACCCCTACCCATAACCCTACCTGTTCCGCTAACCTTATCCCTATCCCTACCCCTAACTTTAATGCTAACCCTTCTCCTACCCCTACCCCAACTTTAACCTTACCCTTAATCCTTTCCATATTCCTACCCATAACCTTAACCCAACTCCTTCCTTCCTTTCTCACTTTTGCTCCTTTCTTCCCCAGCCGAAAGGTTTGTACGAGGAGTAACTCCTTCGAAGACCGGATGGCCCGCTTTCCAAGACCTCCCACCCCTCATGCACCCACCCCCAGACCTAAAAGGCCCTGGGGAAACCTGTCCCCATTCTCCCATGCTCTGTATATCAGCATTGCTCCCTTCTCCAAGGTAGAATAAAAATGATGAAACAAACCCTTGATTGTTTATTTAATTGCATGACGGGGGGGAAAAATCAGGTTCTACATTTAGGCAACAAAAAGGAAATGCACAGGTACAGTATAGGTGGTACCTTCCTCAATAGTAGTAACTGGGAGAGGGATCTTGGAGGCCTAGTTAACAAGCATTTAAATAAACAATCA